CCTCGGCCCCGGCCTGGGTCCGGCCCGGGGGGCCCCTTGGGCTCGTGTAGCCTCTGCCGGGGCAGCCAAGCCTGGCCTGGTGCAGCGCTGCCGCCAGCCACCCCGCAGCACAGCCGGCAGCACGCAGTTGTGCGTGTTTGTTGTCGCTGCCAGTAGAACTTGTTGAGCTCGGGGGACCTGGAGCAGGTGGCATGGGAAAAAGCCCAGCTTTACCATGGCAGCCGTGCCTGCGCTCCTGTGCCGGCAGGGACGGCTGCCTTCCCCAGCCCCGCTGCCGGCCCGGCACACCGCTCTGCCGGGGCAGGGCTGGGGACGGGACACATAGGAAGCACATGAACTAAGGAAGACAGCGGCTGGCTTCAAGTCTTTTCTAAAGCAGCTGACTTCAATAGCATCTTCTGTGGTTTAGGACAAAAATCCTCTCTCTGCTCCTCCCGGGGCTCCCACCCGGCTGGCGTGGCCCCTCACCAGCTGGGATTATGTTTTCTCTCCCTCTGTTCTTTGCGCCCGACTCGTTCTCCTGTTACCTTCCTAGTGTTTAGAGCACATTAAACGCGTTGAGTTTTTGCTGATTATGATGACAGTAAATGCTGATTTTAAAGGCAACCTTCTCGCCTTGTTGCAGTGTATCCATGGGAATGGGCTCGTGTTCAGGCGTGGCAGCGTGCAGTGGCTTTGCACAGCTGAACGCAGGGGAGGGCAGTTTGGCCACGGTGCAGGGGACCGGGGCACTGCGCTCTCCCGTGTGCCGTCTCCCGTGTTGCGCTGCGTTCCCTGGTCTCAGCACAGCGTGTGCTGGCCAGCATGCATTTATGCGCTGTTGGGAACCGCAGCCCTAGAGCAGCCCTGTGCTGGTCAGAAGAGCGAGATGCGAGTGCGGACCGTGGCTCTGGTTATCATCGGAGGCAGCCAAGCAGCATCTCCAGCTGCTGGGATCGGGGAGAGCCAGGGCAGGGGCCACTTCCCAGCACTGAAATACTTATGGACAGGTCATCAAAGCTATCGCAGAGCTCTGTGCTTTGCTGTGGTTTTGCTCCCTGTGGCAGTGCACAGCACCCCAGGGGCTCTCGGCCATAGCGACCACCAAGGGTTTACATGAAAAATCCCATGCCTAAGCTAATTGCCCATAAACGTCAGTCGTGAGCTCACTTGCAAAACACACTCAGAGTCGCTATGGCAATTCCCAGCAGCACTTGGAACCAGATCCTGAGTCACCAATGCCTTGAATCACACCACAGCATCCACCCCCCTCCCGCAGCCATAGCGTCCCGGGCCCGCCGAAGGCAGGCAGCACTCCCAGAGAGACACCCGCGGGCACCGGGGGCTTGCTGGGGCCAAGCACCGCTCTCCTGCCGGGCCACCAGGCAGGGCATCCCATCTGCCCACGGGGAGCCGGGAGGAGGGGGTGGCCCCAACAAGGGGGGTTAGAAAGACAGTCAAAAAAGACAAAGTCTGCCTTTTTAAATGAACTGCAAAATTTATTACAGTGGTTTGCTCCTGACAAGGAAGTTGGTAACCTCCTGCCTGGGAAGGAAGGGTGGGGAGTGGGGAAGGGGAGGGATGAGAGGGAGAAAAGGATGTGAGCGACACAGAGGGAGACACTTAAGGACACTTTTCATTTTCTGAAAATGAAACATCTTTTACCTCCCAAACCATTTTCTCCAGTTCTTTAAGTTCACAAAAAGAAGAAGGTGAAACCGAACCACAGACTTCAGGAGGAAAATGCACAAACATGTTGAAAAGCAGAGACAAACATGCTCTTCTGCATCTAACAAGCTTCCATAAACCGCGCAGCTCCGGGCACAGCGTCTGCAGCTCCTCAAGGCACCGGCTCTGCGCAGAGCCGCGACGGATGACAGCCCCCTCCGAACGAGGAGCAAACACCCACCGTGGAAAACAGACCTGAACCAAGCCCTCCGCGCTGGAGGAGCCCCAGCGGGGCCAGGGGGCCCGGCCGTGGCAGGGGGGCCGTGCTGGGCTGCCCAGCGGCAGCAGCAGAGCAGGAGGAGAGGAGAGCACGGCTGAGTGAGAGAAAGCAGCAGCGAGAGTCTGGCACATCCCAGCTCGGGGGGCCGCACCCCCCCAGTGCTGCCCAGTCCTGTCTGTGAGCCCCTGTCCCGTGCTGGGAGAGGAACCAACAGCTCTTTGCTTGTGGCTTCGGCACAGCATTTGATGTCACCTTGGGACATGGCAGAGCGCGATGCGGGGGTCTGGGGGCTCGGCTTGGCCCAGCATGAAGCACAGGACAATTCTTAGTACTCCTTACCCACGTGCTTGGGCAGGTAAATGCAGGAGGGGGCTGCAAAGCCCCCCAGCTCCCCCCAGCCCCCAGGCACGTGCTGGCATGGGAGCAGCTCTGGGCTCTTTGCAGCCCGGACCTGCTGCTGCCCCACACCTGCGGTGCAGGGGCTGGACCCTGCACCTCCCTCCCGCCCGGCTGCTCTGCCAGCGTCACCTGCAAGCAGGAAAGGGGCAGGGTCCGTCCCTGGCCCCATCCGGCTCCTTGGCTCTTCTCCAGACATTGCCTGGACATGGCTGATGACTGAAGCAAGGCAGGACCCGCGCTGCCCGGGGACACCATTCTCACGCTTCGGGAACCAGCTCTGTTTGTGGTGCCAATGCCGCCTGGGCACCGTGATCTGCAAAGCTTTCCAGCTGCAGGGATGTTGTGCTGGCACCAAGGGCGCAGCAGCAGGGCCTCAGGCCCAAAGTGTCCCAAAGAGAGTCCCCTGCTCCTGGTACCAAATGTCTTAGAGCCTCTGCAGCAAAGCTTCGACATCCCAGAGACGTGCTGGCCGCAGACACCGGTGGGGTCCGGGAACTGTGGCTGCCACAAGCTGCAAAGCCACAGCTGGTGCCTCTGGCACCGGCAAGCGCTGAGAAAATGAATGTCAGCCGAGGGGTCAGCACTGCCCGTCCCTGCCTGTCCTTGCTTGGCTGGGGCAGCGGTGGGACGCAGAGCAGACAGCAACGCTGTGGGGAGCCAGGAGCGGGAACCCCAGCACGTGCACCTTGGGGTCCCGGCACGGCTGCGTGGGGATGACATCTCCAGCCCTAGTGTTCTGCTTGGCTCCTGCAGAAATCCTCTGCCTCCGTGCTGGTGCGTGAGGACACCCCGACTACTGCGAAACCACAGCCGGGGGGGCTCACCTCCCCTCTCCCCTGCCCTGTGCACGAGGGGCCCTGAGTCATGGGGCAGGGTTGGGGGGGCGATGGCTGGCAGGGGCAGCCGGAGAGGAGCATAAATAGGAGAAAAGCCGGGACAGGCTTTACCCTTCCTTCACGCTGCAGAGCCGGGTCCGGCAGGCGACAGGTCAAGCACCGGGTGTGCAGAGGAGCCGGGGGGCAGCACCGCTGATGGAGCAGTCCAGCAGCTGAGCCCACGGCCCCGCAGCCATCAGCCATCCTTACTGTGTATTAAAATAAACTATCTGGGACTTTTCCAATAGTACAGGTTAAATAGCATCACTGAGAAAGGCAGGGTGGAGGGGCAGCGTTGGCCCGCCAGCCCCGGGCGCGCGTCCTGCCCCTGCCGTGCCGCTGGCAGCGCCGGGGCTCCGCCGGGTCTGTGCTCACGGCCACGCTCAAGTCCGCTTGGCGTGCAGCATCTCGATGAGGAGGTTGTTGCAGGGCACCTCCCCGCTCAGGTGCTTGTGGTAGAGGTATTCCTCCGCCTGCATGCTCAGCGCCCGGACCTCCGCCAGCCGCAGCAGCAGCTGGCGAAACTTGTCCGTGGAGTGGGGGTAGTGGCAGACGGTGTACTCCAGCAGCGCCGCGTTGGCCTTCTCCTGAGCGTCCTTAGCCAGTGTGTGGTTCTCCAGATACTTCACATCTGCAAGGGGGGGACGGGACGGTGAAATGGTGCCAAAGCCACGTGTCTGCCCCATCCATACTGCACTGCACCAGGAGGAACCTGTGCTCCTGCATCAGCACCCCTCGTGCATGAGAATGCAGCGCAGGAGGGGTACCGTGCCCCATCCCTGCCTGGCCATGGCCTCCCCATCCCTCCCCTGCCTCCTGGGTCTCTCCCAATGCTGAAGACGGATGCCCAAACCCCCGTCAGCAGTGGAAGGGCCCACAACCCCTGCCCTTGCCACCCAGAAAGCTGCAAAGCTGAAACTTGTTACCGACTGCACCCACACACAGGGAGCTGTTGCCATCAGCCCCCTTTAATTCCTGAAGGCCGAGGAAGCGGCTGAATTAATTCCCCGATAAACCTCGTCTTTCCAATGTGGCAACAGGGCTCACCAGCCTGGAAACCCTAATCCTCTGCGCCTCGCCAGGGTCTCAGCAGCTCCCCCGTAATCCTGCTGCCGGCAGGGTAGCAGCAGGCAGTGGCACCAAGGTGCAGGCAGGCTCCAGCAGCCAAGGGGCCATCGCAGCCCCAAGGGCAGCGCTGCAGAGCCGGGGCATGCACAGCCCCAGGGCAGAGGTTGTCCCTGGGGACTATGGGTCTGTAACCGCCCTGCGAGCGCAGCCGACAGGAGGGTGACTGCAGGGACAGCCCAGGCTGGTGGCTCAGGGCTCCCCAGGCTTCTGGGGCAGCCTGAGCTGGGGTCTGCCCTCCAAGGATGCTGCCTTGGTGCTCAGGTTGCCGTGAGCGCTCCACAAATGAAGCACTGGTTTTCAAGCTGCACAACATGTTGTTGAACCGGCCCCGCACGCAGATTTCAGTGGCTGGAGGGAAACGGGGCTGTGTGTGTGCCGCCCCGTCAGCCGGCTACAGCTATACACAGCAACGGTATCTCGGCACCCGCCTGCGGGAGACCTTGCTGCAAACCCCAGCACCGAGTCCATTTGGGGCGAGCGGATTTAATAGATTTACTGTACGGCACAGAGGCACCCAGCACCACTGTGGCTGGGTAACAGCGCTGCTGGCTCTCCTGCCCACGTCCAGCAGCCACTCACGCACGGCCAAATTCAAGTCTGCATCGGCAGCCTGGATACATCCCGCCCACGGGCTGGGAAAAGGGAAATCTGGGCACGGGTTCTGGCCAAGGCGGTTGGGTGTTTGGGGTTTATTTCTGGCTTTCACCCCCAAAAAAAGAGGGGAATCAAACGTGGCTTTGACCCAGATGGGTCCCTGCTGTAGCCAAAGGGCTGAGCAGCTGTCGGGAGGGGAAAGCGTGGTGCCGGTGGTGGAGGTGGCTGAGCAGGAGGGAGCCCGCCTGCTGGGTGGGGGTGTCCATGGCTCCCCCCACCCCGGCCCCACAGGGCTCCCTCGGGGGGCCATGGCACCCAGCGCTGCTCCAGCCCAGCAAAGCGGGGAGCCCCCGGCCCGTGCTCAGGCAGAGCCCGGGGAGCGGAGGCGCAGTCGCGGCGGCTGCGGGGCCCCTGGGGAGACACGGCCTCCGGCCGTGCCCGCGGCCGGGCCGGGAGCTGCGTGGCGCCCGCACAAAGCGCTGCAGGTTGTGCCAAGATGCACTTTATCAGATCACCCTTCCCTTTTCACTCCTGTGGCACATTTGCTCCTATTGTGGCAATCTCCCTTCTACCCGGGTTGTTGTTATGAAATCTCTTTATCTGCATAAGGTTATTGTGCATGTCATTAAAAAAAAGAAGTTATATTGATAAATGTCAAATCTATCCCCTGAGTTGGCTCAACAATAGCTAGTTCTACTCGATGAACTCACCTGGTTCTCTGAAAGACCCTATTCACTGTTTAATTGAATATTTGAATAATCTTTTCATTCCTGCAAGGAATAAAGAATGTTGTCCAAATAACATTGACTCACTTCATTTAGAGACACTGCAGCAGTTGCAAAGACTGTCCTGTGACAAAGCCTCCCATCACACATACAGATATGCCTGGGATTATTTCTATGCCCTCAAGTGTTCTTCCTATTCACAGCTCCTTTTGTTTGGGAGAAGCTGCTGATAAATTGCAAACGCTTAAGGGAATGTGGGCTATAAAAGCCTCTCTTCCTCCCCTCCCCAAGAGTAGCTGCTTCATGAATGTAAGTCATGAAATCGAATGATAGGTCAATCCATTAAGGCTCTATTAAGCCCTTCTGTAGAACAAAGCTAACCTGTGCCGTCCTCATAAATATTGCTATTTTGAGAAGCCCTAATTTTAATTAAATCTCTTTACCTGCTCAGGAGAGAAATCTATTTAGAACTCAAATGGCAGCTCTTGTGAGCGGGGCTTGGCTTTGATTGTGCTGTGGCAGAGTGGTAAATGTGGAAATTCTCTTGTTAAAGGCAATTACATCCTGCACATAATACACAATCCCATCCTCTACAGCTGAGCCTGCGAAGGGCAAATTACTCCAAGTGAGCTCTGCAATATGGAGAGAAAAAGTTGGATTTGGGGCAAAATGATGTATGGGAAAACACAGCTATTTGATTCCATGCCCTTCCTGAAAGCCGCTGCTCCGGGGAAGCGGAACCGCAGCCGCAATCGGCACAGCAGCCGTGGCCACCGTGGCTGGCTGCGCTCTGGGAAGATGCTGCTCCTGCTCGCTGTGCCGTGCCACACTGTGCCGTGCCACGCTGTGCCGTGCCGAGGGGCGGCAGGGGGATGCAGGGCAGCGTGGGGTGACCGACCCTCCCGGGGCTGAGCCCACGGGGCGGCGGCCAGGGAAGATCCCAGCTCGGGGCACGAGCCCCACCACCTCCTTTATTTCCCAGCCTGGGCACTGTTTGTGCCACACCTTATCACTGCTTGAACAGCAAATTATCGTATCTAATTTCTCTGGATTTCAAAACAGCTCTAGAGGAAAAGAAAGCTGTGGGAGGAGATGCCGCAGGTGCAGGACGGGATGGCGGTGCAGCTCCCGCGCCCTGAGACACCTGCCCTGCCCGGGCCCCCGGGTGCCGGACCTGCCTGCTGACGAGGACACGTCCACAGCAAACCCGAGTCAAACCAGTGGGTCCTTCAGACCGTACTGGTCCTGACCCCAGCCCCTCAGATGGGGGAGTGGATTCCCACTGCCTGCAGCACGTCAATGCTCCCACTTAACCCATTAACCCAGTGGCAGTGCTGCTCCTGGAGCAGGCTGCCTTCTCAGCGACAATGACATGGATTGATGCAAACTCTGTCAAGCAACGAAGTACAAAAATACACAGCAGTGTCCATATGGTGCAGAGCGCAGCTCATGGCCTGCTGCACTTGGTGTTGGGGCAGGACCCCCCCCCAGATGTGACCTGTGGTGCACAAGCACAAGTGCAGACTGAGGCACTGGGACAGGGATGGGGAAGGGGTTGGGAATGGGTTGGGATGGGGATGGGGACGGGGATGGGGATGGTGCCAGGGCTGCCCCGAGCTGGGCTTGCTGTCCTGGCTCAGCACCAGCACCCGGGTGCTGCAGGGACCCAAGCATAAGTTTCCCTGGGGAAATGCCGGCTCCTGCCCTGTCTGGGTGCGTGCAATTAGCAGCGGCCATGGAGGTGTGGGAAGTGAAGCAGCCGCGGCGGCAGAGGTGTGAGCCGGGAGCACAGCAGCCAGCTGAGCCCCTCGCAGGCTCCGCTGCTGTCCTCGTGCCGGGAGGTGAGATCTCCCACTGGGACAGGGCCGAGGGGAAGGTGTCAGCACCAGTAATGAAGGTGGACGGGCACCCTGGGGTCCCCGTGGTGCTCAGCATTGCCCGTGGCCGCGTCGCCCCACCGAGGGCTGAGATTGCTCCGGTAGGACTCTGATAGGTGTCCCTGCCTCCGGGTGATGCTCGTGGGAAAAGCAGACGCATCCCTGGACGCGGTGGATGGGGAGATGCTCCCCGCAGGGGCAGCAGTGTGGCCAGGGTGGAAGCGGGGCAGGAGCAGCGCAGGATCAGGGCAGGAGCAGAGCAGGAGCGGGGCAGGAGTGGACAGAGCTGCTGTGCAACCCCAGGGACGTTGCGGGCTCTGGCAGCAGCGCCCGCGGCTCCCGCGTATTTTGTCTAGGTGAGGCAGGACCGTGTGAACCCGCTGCCTCGGCCCGACCACAGGCTCCAGGGCTGAGCCTAATCAGGAGCCACGCGCAGCCCCTGCCCCACCGCGGTGGCACAGGCCCTCTGACGCAAATCCCGGGAGATAGGGCCGTTCCCCGGCTGCTGCCTCTGTCAACACGCCTGTTTTGCTGCAGCCATATCAGCCGGTTGTTTCCCTGCCCGGTGAGACGGGCGAGTGACCAAAACAGGCTCCGCTTGGCCAGCGGGTTGGCAACGTCCCCCACGGCTGGGGGCAGAGCCCGGCCCTGCAGTGGGAGAAGTTTTGGACCCCCAACAAGCCAGGGGAGCTGGCAGGTCCCAGCCCTCGCTCCTGGCTCCTCATTAAAAGCCCCTTTGTCACCCGTCGGTGCAGCAGCCAGCATGGCTGGACCCTGGGCTGCGCGTGCTCCCTCCAGCCGTGCTCCCATCCCCTGAGACCCCGCAGCAGCACGGCCGTGACCCCCCAAGCGTGGCCGTCCCTTGTCCCAATGCCCCCCGTGGCAGCGCTCACCAAGGCTGAAGAGGATGAGGAACTTGAGGCAGACAAACTCCTGCCGGTCCACCTGGAGCGAGTGCAAGTGCAAGACGAGCTCCTGCGCCCGCAGCACCAGCGTGTTCAGGATGGAGCCGGCCTGGGCTGCGATGGTCGACATGTCCACCTGCGGGGACAGGGACGGCATCAGCCCCAGCCCCCCCCAACCCGCTGCAGGGGACACCGCGCAGAAGCCAGGCACCAGCCCACAGCACCAACCGAGAATTAGGGGCATCAAAGTGAAGGCTGATGGGTGAAACAGGAACCCTGTTTCTCCAGCACCTCTTAAAACAGAGGGGCCCTTTGCAAAGCACTGGCATTTCGGGTGCCTGTGTCTCCAAAAACTGCTCCCAGGGAGGGAAGGGGCCCCTTCTCACACCCTGTCACTGCAAGTGCAGGTGCAGCCGTTGATCTTTCTGTGAGAAACATTTTTCTCCAGAAGCAGGAGCTGGGTGGCGGGTCAGGACAGGATGGGATAAGACGGGATGGAATGGGATGGGATGGGACGGGATGGGACCTTCTGCACAAGCAGTCCCATAGCACAGCAAAAACAACCCATCCGCCCTGCACGGGGTAAGCTGCACTCAGCCAGAAGTAAGACAAAAGCCACCCCTGTGTCCCCCCTCCAACGCGGCCGCCTGGCCCCCACCACCCCAACCGCAGTGGCCGCTGCGGTCTCTGTGGGCCGGCACTCACCTCCTGGCCGGTGACGAGCAGCATGCTGTGCTCCTTGCCATGCTGCAGCTGCCGGTAGACATGGTCAAACACCAGCAGCTCGCTCCAGCAGTTCTGCAGCAGCTTCATCTGGTCGCCCACCTGAAACACAGCCAGAGCAGCGCCGCTGACACCCATCATGCCGGGGCTGGGCCAGCCACGCGCAGCCACGGGGGCTGCGTCTGCACGGGCTGGTTGCTGGCCGGCAGGAGGGGTCAGGCTGCCCCGGTCCCCACACCACCCCTCCGGCCCCCAGCGCTGCGTGTTGCGGGTGGGCTCTACGCTCCAGCCCTGCGGCAGCGATGGCTCAAACTCACCCCATCAGCTGCTACATCACATTGCCGCATTAGCAGCGGCCCTGGGCAGGACCCGCACCCATCTGTGTCTCACCCTGAGCACAACAGAAAGGGGTTTTCTACCAAACTGGCATCAGTGTCAAAAATTAACCGAATTTCACTGCTCAAGCACCCAGAAGGAGAGCAGCGAGTCCAGTCATGGCACTGTTACATAAAGGATAGGGCCTTCTGCCACCAAGATGAGCAATGCCTTGGCATGGATACGGCTTCAACATGATGTGTTGGACATGTGACAAACTCTGCGTTCCCCTAAGGCCCCCAGGTGACTTGATCTACACAGATTTGTCCGGCCCCGGGTCTGCTTTGTGCACACGTTTGCTTGCCAGCCCATCGCAGGAGCACGCAGGGAGTGCAGGGGGCATCACCTGCCTCCCTCAGGAATCCAGCTCCTCCAGATGGGACAGGCCTTTGTCCTCCAGGACTTTGTCCCTCACCCTCACAGCCTAGCAAAAGCCCTGTTTTTTTTAAGAACCTGAAACCCTCCTCACCCCAGTGCCTGCAGAGCATTTCCCAAGTCTCACACACCCATTTATACATGGAAATTGCAGCCTGACCGTGAACAAGCTCCTAGCAAGGAGATGCTGTATCTTATTAATGAAACATCAATTGCAAAGCCCTGATCTGGCTCCTGGTTCCCATATCTGCCTGTGCTGGTGTGTAACTGGGCTGGATGTGGCACCCCACTTCATCTCACTGCCGGTACCCCACGCATCACCTCCAGCCTTCCCTTCACGGCAGGTGGGAGGAGAGGATGGCAAGACTGACGCCCACAGCACTGGTTAGCGTCTATAGCAAGGATTGCAACCGCCAGCACCCTGCGGCCGGGTTACACTTGCAGGCTCATGCCCCACGCATGCCTTGTGCTGCGCTTGAACAGCACTGACCCCGTGCCCAGCAGATGTCCCAGGGGAGGCCAGCCCAGCAGCAGGGTCCCCTTGGGCGGGCAGGGAGAGCTGGAGCTGCACCCCCAGCAAGGGGGATCCCAGCCTGGAGGAGAGGAGACGGGCCAGGCAGCTGCACAGAGCCAGCTTTGAAGCAGCTCAGCATGTTTCGGTGGCACTTGCTGGCTCTTATCAGCATGGGTTTTCCCCCACCAGGCACAACCTCCCCGAACCACACACAAATCTTTAACAAAATGACCGCTGGCCCTGTCCTGGCACTGAGGCGGGAGGGAACGTGCGGCTGCTGCACAAAGGCCCTGTGTCTCCAGGCAGCCCCTCTGGATACTTTAAAATGAAAGAAGACAGTGCCCGTCCTTGCCTCCCTGCCATGGATGGCAGGTTTTGGGGCGGGCACAGAGCACGGCCGCGGGGGAGCCGCTGGCTACGAGGCATCGCTGCGCCCTGCAGCTGCCAGGTCGGCCCCTGCCCACACACCAACACATGCGTGATCATGTGCACATTTGCACATGTGCTGGTGTGTACGTGCAGGCACAGGTATAAGCGTGCACAGCTATGCTTTCAAAGAAATGCCTGCAAATGCCCCTGGTAAAAAGCTCAACCCAGGACTCAAACTGCAAGGGGCTCCAAAGGTCTCGTAGGAAAGCCGGTGGGCTGCAGGCAGCACCAGTGACGGGCAGGATGAGCTGCTGGAGCCAACAGCTATGTTCGGAAAAATGAAGAGCCATGCCAGGCCCCCATGGCTGGATGCGGGGGTGCTGCCAGCCCGGGCCGGGGAGCAGGCAGGAGGCACACCGCTCAGCTGCCTTCCCCACCGCCCCACCGAGAACCACCGTGGGTCACCAGCTTCGTCCCCGTGTTGCTGCACTCTGCAGGACCCCAATTCCTTTCTGCAAAGAGCTGAACCCCCATCCTGCCCAGAGCCCCCTTCTCCTGCAAGGCTGGCGTAGGGAAACGGCCGGGGATTATCAGCAATACTTCCCTGCAGAGCAAATTCAGCGCCAGCAGAAGAGCTCTGCAGTGCCATTGTGCTCGCTGCCTTTAATAGAAGGAAGACAGATGCAGTATCACAGGACTGGATAATACCCTCGTTTTGCTGAAGAGGCTGCAATAAACCAGTGCTGGGAGACTGCAAAAGGAATAGAAGTCAGATGAGAAAGAGCTTTATGGTCTCGGAACCCGGCACTCCCTGCGAGCGGCTGGGATTTGTTCTCAAGTGCAGTGGGTGGTCAGACCTGGACGCGCAGCAGCACGGGGAGGGAGGTGCGGCACAGAAAGCAGTGCCGGCGGCCTGCCCGATGCGTGAAACCTGCCTGCAGCGAGGTGCAGTGGGTGCAATGGGGCTGCCAAGGCTGGGCTCGCCACCACATCGCCCGGGCTGGTGAAGAAGCCACGGTACACGGCCCAGCCGTTCAGACCAGGAGGCTTCTGTTCAGCTGCTGAACAAAGAACTGGGGAAAAGCTCATTCTGCATCAAAACAAAATAGAGATTTTCTGCATTCCTGATGACCTCCGCCCCAAGGCGAGTGGCTGGCTGTAACTGCGGCCAGCCCTCGCAGGGAGCTGGGCTCTCGGCACAGCAGCATGCTGCCAGCCCAGCCGCACGCTCCCGGCCGGTGCCGAGCTCCTCCGCTCCGGCTGAGTTGCGGCGTTGTTTTGGAAGCTCCTTCCTGTGCCTCATTCCTGAGCAGGACGACCTCTGGAAGGGACAGACTGAAGGTTTTGCTCTGAAAATGGTTTAAAAAAACTCCAGTTTTTCCAAAAGGAAGCATTTCAACAATTTTGAAATCTTCTTTTCTTCCTTTAAAAATGACTAATCAGCTTCTTCCTAACTCCACAGACAGGTTCAGCTCCCTCAGAAGAGCACCTCCCCGAATCCCATCAGCGGCACATTTTGCCCTGTGCGCCTGTGGCACAGCCGTTCCCCTGCCGGCACGCTCCGGTGTGCCATCGCCTTCCCTGGGAGCACCGCTGCACGCCAGAGCCATGCGGCCACAGCATGGGGGGATGTGGCTGGGAGTGTGACTGGGTGGGCTGGGGGCTCTGGGGGCCAGGTAGGGCTCAGGGACGTCTCCAGGGACCCCAGCCCTGCCCGTGCCCGAGCACCAAGCTGGGTGTCCCCGTGCCGCGGGCTGGGGCAGCAGTGGGCATCCCCGCATGGCCCTGCTCCAGCAGTGTGGCTCCGCTCCGAGGGGGCTCCTGGCTGGAGATCACCTCCCTGCGCCCAGCGCCAGCCTGGCCTCCCAGGAGGAGGGGGCTGCTAATGGACGGCCACTCAGAGTCAATCAATCCTCCCGGCAAGGCGGCATGCATGCACGCTCGCCTTTAAAAGTTAAGCAAAGGATCTTCCTCTTTTAATGTCAAGGCTTTTCAACAGAGTGCTTTATCAAGGACCTGATGCAAGCTGTCTTTAAGAGGCGATTTTTTTTTTTAAAAGCAAGCATTTAACCCATTCACAAGACATGGCAGCAAAACGCTCCCCACACAGGGCGAGCACTGCCCTGTCACCTGGCTGCCGAAAGTGCCTTGCTGCTGAAGGCCTGCAGCCCACAGAAAAATCCATTCCCCTGCGACAAACGGGCTCGGACCGAGGGCCGGAGGGGAGGCAGGGCGTGCAGAGGCAGAGACGGTGCTGCCTGGGCATGGGGCTGCAGGACCCACATGCAGATGTGCCACATGAGAGCCTTAAACCTCCTGTGACCCTCCCTGTGGGTTTGTAGGCAGGAGGGGAGGAGGCCCCTGGGAGTGTTGGGTCTCCCCAGAATGTGCCCAGGCCACCCCAGCATCCCGGAGTCAAACCCCCATGGGGATGGTGCAGCCCTGCTGCGCTCGCTGCTCCCTGCACGGCTGGTCCAGGGCATCCCCCACCTCGGGTACCACCATCCGCCCTTGAACATCTCTGCAGCGTTATGAAGCAGTGACCCATCAACACCCCCGCTTTGCTCGGAAGCCCTGAGCGGGTGCCAGGACATCGATCCCCAGCCTCTCCCCACCCGGCTTCAGCACGCCACGGGCACGAGGAGTGCTCGGATGTCCCCGACCTGCCTTCACCCCCAGGGATGCTCTCCGGGCCTCCTCCCAGATCACTGGTGCAGGATTTGCCCCAGCAGCTTCCACACAGGTGCACAGCACACACCAGCGCCCCCAGCCACAGCCTGGGCAATTACTGGGTGCGAGCAGGACCCATCACCTTGGCTACCGAGAAGTGTGAAAGTGGATTACCATCTGCCAGCCACCCGCGACTGAAACCCCACACGAGTCTAAGGTGTTAATGGTCAATGCAGGTCCCCATCCCCCTGCCCAGATACCACTGCAATGGGCATCTTAAAGCAAAAAACTACCAAGATCAGTGCAGCAGGGCCAGCAGCGCCCAGTCTGCCGCTCCCCCTCGCAGAGCACGCCGCCGGGGCCCAGGCTACTGCTTATTGCTGGTGCTCGCAGGCAGCCGGCTGCAAGGCTGCGTGGGCATCGTGGCTCTGCATGTGCGCCCCAGGAGCGAGGGCAGGGCTGTGCCAGCCGGGCCGCCCGCAGGCAAGGAAAGCCGTCGCATTTCCCCCAGTGCATAGGATGCTAAACATTGCTGCAGCATCCACGACCAGAAGGAGATTTTAAATCTGCCAAAAACGCTCTGGCTGTTGGCCAGGAGATGGGGTCAAGATGACCCACGCATGCTAAAGGCAGAGAAGCAACTGACTACAAATAGGCTTTGTCATGGCTCCGAGCTCTCTAACGAGAAGTGAGGGAGAGCAGCCCAGCAGAGAGACCCAGAGACCCTCAGGAACCCCTCGGCCCATGGTGGGAATGGCGCTGCCCTCAGCATCGTCGTCCCCCTGCCGCTGGTGCTCGCCCGTGGTTGGGAGGGTGGTTTGCCCCGGCCCCAGGGCCAGGAGGGGCTGAGGAGGGGACCGGCATCAACCCACCTCCCTGCGGCCGCGCCGTGCCCCTCCACTGGCGGCAGGGACCCCCAGCCCAGCCCAGCCTTCGGGCTGAAACCGCAGCAATTTGTTTAACATTCCTGGCTGCTCATCCCAATCTAAAGGTCACTGCACCTCTGCGTGCACAATATTTATATGTACATATGGCAGCAACACCTATATAAACCAGGCTGTGCAAGATACGTGTATATAAACCAAACCAAAACCAGACCCGATGTGAGTGCGCAAGTGTGCGTGCCTATGCACATTTCTCTGTCTGTCTCTCTCCATATATATATAAAAAAATTACATCTGAAAGGACAAAGTTGCCTGAGACTCATGACCCAACAAAATATATTTCACCCCCAGCCCATATTTTTCTTCCTGAAGAGATGCTGCAAATCTTCCCTCAGTCCTGACACATCTCATCTAGACTCAGTTAAAGTTCGTATTTATGGGCGTCAGCGCTGACCTCTTCCACCTCCGCCCGCGCGGCCTCGCGCCACGGCTGCCTGGCCGGCCCTCGATAAACAAGCGGGCCCCCAAATCCCCCTCTGCCGCGCAGCATTATTAGTCTTGCCTCCGAAGGCCAGCGCAGTCCGTAATTCTCTGCCTGGTGACACGAGATGAACACTGCGACATCAGTCTCCCGGGCGGATTGGCATGGGGACCCTCGTTTGTCAGTGGCAGACTGACAGAATTACTGGCCCTTAAATGAAACGATATATCTGGGAAGTTAAATCTGTTTTCAATCTGACTGCCCCGCGCCTGTGGGCAGACGTGGCGTGTGAGCCGATGTCAAGAGGCCATTAGCCCGTCTCCTCCCGCCTTCCCTGGGTGCAGCGGTGGAGCTGGGGGGGGGCTCTCCCCAAGGGCCCCCACCCTGGCCACCCCGCCAGGAAGAGACAGCAAAGCGCCCGGTCTGCTGCTGCCCCTCGCCGGGCTGCTAGTGTGGGAACGGGAATGGGGATGGGAACAAGACCTGCCAGCTCCAGGCGGGACCTGCTCTCGGCTCTCCCTGGACAGGGAGCAAAGGCTCGTCCTGGCCAGGTGTGAGCCAGCGGGTCCCCGTGCCCCCGAGGGTTTGCTCCCTCCTCTCCAGGCTCCCTGCGAGGCCCGGGGAAGAAGCCAGCTCTCTGCAAAACAGCCCTGCAGCAGGAGCACAGGGGTGCTGGGAGTGTTCAGGCAGGGGACGTCGTGCATGGGGGCATCTGCCTGCACCCTCTCCCCAACCGCCTGCAGCCCTCCCCGCTTGGCACCAGCCCGGTGTGATGCCCTGGAGCGATGTCCCAGCACGCCGCCCTTCCAGCCTGGATCCCTGCACTGGCCTTGGCCAACAGCCCTTCCCCGGCTGGGGATGGTGACCGTCGCCTTCATGCAGATGTTCCCAGGGGATGGAGAGGGCTGCTGGCATCCTCTACTCCGAGGAGCGCTGAGCACCCAGCAGGGACTGCCTGCATGATGGCCATCGATCTCCGAGATCACGATTTTACTCTGTGCTAGTGGGCTTTAGGGTAAAGCCATAAACTCTGCACTAGCAGGAGTTCATTTACCGCCCCAGCAGCTGTTTGCTTTTATGTGCCGGCAGGAGCAGGAATGGGGTTTCAGGAGCTGCAGACCTACTCCTGCTTCCCAACGGCTTCTCTCCGCGTGCCCAAGGGAAAGCGACCGCCCAACGCCAGGGAGGACGCGCTGTGCCGGATGGGCGGCGGGCAGCCCCGGCACCGTCCTGGGGGACACACACAGAGCGGCCCGGGCACCACAGCCCCATGCCAGAGGCTCAGAGGGAGCCAAGGCCAGCGACAACCAGCTTTCTCACGCTCCCTCTGGAGTCAGGGTGGGACGTGGCGTCCTGCAGTCCCTGGCTGGAAATCTGCCGCGCGCTCACTGCATGGACAAAACCAAAAGGCACAAGCCCCCGGGGTGGTGGTGATGGACAGTGATGCCCAGCCGAGCTCCCTTCCCTGGGGCACCGTGTCCCGTGTCCAGGGCACGGTGGGGGATGTGCCCCGCTCCCGGCAGGACGCCGGTGGCCCTGCCCAGGTGAGGCATCTGGCATTGCCGTCCCCCCCAGAGCCCCACGGGAGGAGCCGACGTGGATTCACACGGAAACAGCCTATTTTGGTGGCGCAATCAGGCTGACAATGGAGTTACAAGGCTATGCGGCAATGCAGCCGCGAGCTGAATTTACACTGTTTACAATATCTCCTGTAAAACAACAACCACCCTGTTCCCAAAATCCAGGCTGGACACTGATATGATTGAAACAAGCCCGACCCACCCCCACAATGCCGTTTCCTGACACTGTTCTGGCAGCTGGGGGCTATTTTGAGCCACGAGGCTCTGCCACGCTCGGCCCCATGGCACTCTGCAGGGTGGGCACGGGGAAGAGCCTGGCCCTGTCCCAGGGCGCGGTCCCCACAGCACTGCGGGGGAAGGTGATTTTGGCCAGAGCCGGCTAGCACAGCCTCACACTCAGAGCACGGGAAGGCACCTGGGTCTCCCAGCCACACTGGGACGTGGCTCTCTGGGTTTTGGCCACATTGCAAAATTTTCTCTCCCATTTTTGCAGTGGTTTAGTATCTTAGGTCAGCCCAGAACACAAACAGAAAACGTCTGACAGCTTGGCAAGGTTTGCAGGATGGCAGAGGCTGCCCCACCCCTGCTAATCCACCCCTTGGCCCCAGTAAGTATTTGGGGGGATTTGCTAGATGGGACGGCCCGGCGGGATGGGGGTCAGCACCATGTCCCCCGGCCAGGCACACTCGCAGACTGCCGGCAGCAGAAGTGGCTCCAGAGGAGGCTTGGTGGTGTCCCCCGCCCCGGCCAGCCCTGCCCTGCCTGCCTGGTGCTAACAGGCACCCACCTGACAGCATCGATTTTCCTCCTAAAGGCGGAGGAGAGAATTGTATCAACTATAATTCCTCAACGTTACATTTTTCAATTATATCTTGAGCTTGACACCGCAGTCACTCTGCCGACGATTGCCTCCACACCTGCCCCCGCGGTGATGAATCTGAAATCATTAGCCCCACAGCGGCAGCAGGGACCACTCCGGTGTTGCAGCCGGACCGCAGTGCCTCCAGTGCTGCCGCGTGGGCAGCCGGGAGCGGGACAGGGATGCACCAGTTCGTCTACAGCACTGGTGACCCCAGGCTCGTGCCCACAGTGTTGCCCCATCCTCACAGCGTTTCAGCTCCAATCCTGCTCATTACAGCATGCTGTCCATTACAGCATCCCATCCTCACAGCATTTCAGCCCCAATCCTACCTGGCCTCCTGCCACCCGCCCCGTGCAGCATCCCTCCCCCCCGCCCAAGCTCCTACCTCCAGCTCCTTGAAGAAGATGCAGCTCCGTGCCCACTCCACGATGGATAGGAGGGTCTGGTCGGCCATCTTGCACATGAGGCCAAAGGTGCTGAGCTTCTCGTGCCGGCCTTTGCCTTGCTCTTGCTGCAGGCAGGCCAGTATCCGCGCCTTCACCTGGGCCTCATCGGGCTCCAGCTGCAGCAGCTTCAGGATGACCTCGGGGATGTCGGGGGGGGAGCTGCTGGGGTAGGTCTCTGGGTACACGTAGGCGGGCACGGACTCGTGGGCGTTTGTGTAGTGGTCCGGGTACTCGGACTTGATGGTGCGGTTGGGGAAGGAGGGGTAGTGGTAGCTGGTGAGCGGCGCGTGGCTGGGCACAGTCATTCCCAGGGATGGCGTCCCGTAGGGGCTGCGCTCATAGTCGACAGGCGTCAGGGCGGCAGGGTTGGGTGGCAAGGTCTTGGACATGGCGTGGATGCTGTGGATGGTGGAGGACAGGCTGTAGTCGTTCTGCACCGGGGACATGATCTGAGGCACGGTCTCCAGCTTGAAGCCGTTGGCACGGATCAGAGCTTTCTTCTGCTGCTTTAAGGCACGGTCCCGCTTGTACATGGGTCCAAACTTGTTCCTCCCTCCGCGCATCCGGTCGGCACGCACCGCTGGGGGCAGAGAGCGGGCAGAGGCTGCAGTGAACCCGTGTGGAGGGAGACCAGCACTTCCACGCAGCGAGGAGAAAATGATGGGGGGGATTTGGTGGCCAAAGGGAGCTGGGGGGCACCGGGGAGACCTTTCCAGAGAGCCGCTGGCAGGACTGTGCTGCTCCAGCCCAGCCGTGCGCACCAGGGGCATGGCGTGGCAGGTTCGGGTGCCTGGCCCCGGCTCTTGCCTTGCTGGTGTCAACCTCAGAGCCTCTGGGAATTGCGGGAAAGGAAGAGACATTTGGCTTTAACTATAAAAAGGGCTGGGGGATAAAGCAGCTTGCATCCCTCACGGGTTGGGGGGACAGCCTGTGAAGCCCAGGCAGATGAGGGGGCTCGACACCCACTTTCACTTTTACGACCCCTGACTCTGGACCAGCCCCAGGATTTCCTTGTTTCTGCAGAGCCTGGGACCCCACAGCCCTCTCAGACCCTGGTTCACCTGCATCCAGGCTGCTCATGCTTCTTTTCTGCAAATCTCTGCCCCTTTCACAGGCAGCACGGCTGGCAGCCCCAGCCGGGCACACTGCACCCCGCGGCAGGGCTGCGATGGCTTTCAGGCAGGAGGCTGCCCATCCCTGCCGCGTATCACCTACGGCCAAGGGGCTCTGCTGGAGCATCCCACTGGCGGAGTCGCTCTGACGGCCCCATCGCAATCTCCCGGCTGTAGCAAAGCAGATGCTCCCTCCAAACCCCAAAAGAAAACCAAGAATGTGTCAGCACACGAGGGAGCAGGTGCTTCTCTGCAGCAGGAGCTCATCCCTCCGCACCGCCCCGCCGCGCTCCCAGGGGCTGCTGCCCCGGCCCACCCTTGGAAGAGCCTCAGCTCGCTGGAAGCTGGGAGCTGGACGGCAGTGCAGAGCGATGGAGGAGAGCGCGCCAGCGAGCACGGCCCACAGACTTAGCATCAAAGGGAAAAAAAGTCTGCTAGTTTGCATCCCCGCTGACAGCAGGCAGGTCTTGCTTTTGTGTCTCAGCTGTTACCTCTGCCTCTCTTTCGCCTACTTATCCTGCGGCCGCTGGAAGCGTGGCCAGCCCCCCCGGAGAGCCAGGACACCTCCCAGACTCTCCAGGCAGGCTGGAAAAGCGGGAGCATTGGCCGGGAGCATGTGCTCCCAGGGGAGCCGCCCCGCGCTTCCTCCCTCATTCTTTATTCATGAAAACAGCATCTCGCTGGGAGCAGGGCGGCCAGAGGCATCCTCCGAGGCCCCCCCCCGAAAGCCTGCCCGCAGGCCTCTGGGCAACAGACAGCTGCCCCGGGGCAGTTCCTGACTCCGGGGGTACAAGGGAGATGGCCGCAGTCAGTGCATGTGCGTACCCCTGCCAGGATCCCCCGCGGGCAGACCCCCGCGCGCAGCCCAAGCTGGCACCAGCGGGGCTGGCAGCCCCGGCTGCACACCCCGGCGATGCCAGGGCACACCGAAAGCCCAAATCTCCCACCTGCTTCAAGTAATGTGTTTCCACCACCGCTCGAGGCCGGGCCCAGTGATGCCCAGGGATCACATCCCAGGCAGACCCCTGTGACCCTGGGCAAGGGTGCACAGGCAGGGACCCCGCTGGTGCTGCCTGCACCCCCCCACAGTGAGAGGTGCTCGCAGCCTGGTCTCACAAACCCTCCGCAGGCGACCGCTAGTACACCTCCTTCCCTCTCCCAGCAAGACACAAAGGGAGAAGGGGCCTTTTAATTCCCTCCTGCTCCACTTTTCCTGCCGTTTGTGCCTCACTTGGGATCGGGAACAACTTGCCGTTTGCCGCGTCCCAGCTGGCTGCCGGGAAGGAACCGAGGCACCCCGACCTCCAGGGCAAGGGAGCCCAAGCGGAGCCACCCAGGAAGCGCCTGCACCCCCGGCACCCCCCAACAAAACCATCCGCAGGCGGCCCCCGAGCCACGCACCCAGGGTGCGGCCACCGGCACGGCAGCAGGCGCGAGCACCCAGCGGCTCCCCTTCCCGCTCCCTCTGCCTCGCCTGCCCTCGCCCCCGCGCAGAGCCCCGGGGGGGTGGGCTGCCCGCCAAGCTCTGCATCCCCTTGCCCTGGGCAGGGGCACGGGGGGTGCCCGGGGGTGCCTGGCGGTGCCCGGGGCTGCGGGCAGGCTTGGGCCAGGGCTGTGCTGCTCTCCCGGGCCAGGCTTCGCTGCAGCATCCCTTCAGGCACTTCAAGGGGGCCTGTCTCAACACTCTGTCCCCAAAATCATCATCTCGGGCTTGCTTTTGTCCTGTGGAGCTGGAGGCTCACCTTCAAAGCGTCACCTCAGATTCCCTGCCCAAAAATAGTAGGAACTGAGGAAAGGTGGGCTCCGGTTTTTACCACAAAAAATGATGGTCCCACGGGAACGTCACCCTCCGCTGGGTGATTCCCCCCCGGCTGCGGGACTCTGCTGAGGAGCTAACAGCAGGAAAACAAATAAAAAATCCCAGCCGCTGCCCTCACAGGTTATGGGACCAAACGAGCTCCCCAGCGAACAAAAGCTGCTGAAAACGGCTGGGGAGCCGGGGCCAGGCCCCCCCAAGCAGCCCAAGTGCTGCCCCTGCCTGACTGCCCCTGGAGCCCCCAGCCCCTGCCCAGCGCCCAAACTCTCCTGCAGCACCGGTCAAAACTGCCAGAGTGTCTGTGGATAGATTCGGGGCACCAGTAACTCCAGTCCAGGAAGGAGAGTGAAACTGGGATCTGTTTGGAGCCGGGGCTGGAAGCCGGCCCACACCAGGAGTTTGCAGGGGCTGATTTTGCAGCTTGATGTTTTGTCTTACTCCTGCGCCTCTGCTCGCAGGCTCTCATCCCGCTCCTGGGAGCGAGCGGCCGCTGCGTGGGTACGCGCAGGACGCTGATTAACCCGCACTCTGCCCCGAGCTCCCGGGTGGGCGAAGCCCCGCGCAGCGAGCGCGGCCAGGCGAGGGGTCTCAGCCCCACCGGCGCGTCTGGCCGCTTTCATCCGCTGCAAAATGTAAACGATTTCAGGGGAGAGGAGGTGGGGGGTCGAAACGATGTCGGGGGATAGGAGGGGTGGGGGCGGCTGATTTGGGGCGGGGGTCTCCTTTCTGCATCTGCTTTTGCTTTGCAGTCGCTCGCCGGCGATCCATCCCCCCGAATGTATTTTGTTGGCCCGTGCTAAGTGTTGCAGAAACCACAACACACGGCTTGGGGATGTTGGGGCTCGACTCCGATGTCTCAGTCGGGATTGGCTTCTCTGACAGGAGCGAGGTGGCGGCTGTGGGGGATGGAATTGCACTCCCCGAGAATCAGAGGAGAAATCTGTTCTACTACATGTCACGAAGAGGAAAAATATAATTCGTGGTGGGTCTGCAGCAGTTTTATTACGAGCCCCATAATTCTAACGTTTTCCTTAAGTCTTGGCTTCTGGAATTATGTGCTTAAGGAAAACAATAATTTCTACGCTATTTCCCAAACGTTCTGCCAGCAAAGAAAATCCTGGAAAGTTGAAGTCTACGTTATTCCCCAACGTTTCTGCCAGAAAAAAAAATCCTGGAAAGTTGAAGCCGCAGCAGCCAAAAACCCCCGGGGAAATAAAACAAAAACGAAAAAAGGAAAAGCAGGAGGCGACGCGAAAAAACGAATTTTTTTTTAACTTGGGAGGGAAAAACGGAATCGAAGCGGCCGCGGGAATTACCGGCCCCGGG